TGACCATTTCTGTAAGTCTGTCACCCCCCCCCCCCTCTCTCTCTCTCTCTCTCTCTCCCTAGGTCCCCACCCCCTCTTTGCCTCAATCTCATATCTCTCTCTCAACTCTCTCTAGCCCCCTCTCTTCCTCAACCCGAAGTCTCTCTTACTCTCTCTAGCCCCCTCTCTTCCTCAACCCGAAGTCTCTCTTACTCTCTCTAGCCCCCTCTCTTCCTCAACCCGAAGTCTCTCTAACTCTCTCTAGCCCCCTCTCTTCCTCAACCCGAAGTCTCTCTTACTCTCTCTAGCCCCCTCTCTTCCTCAACCCGAAGTCTCTCTAACTCTCTCTAGCCCCCTCTCTTCCTCAACCCGAAGTCTCTCTTACTCTCTCTAGCCCCCTCTCTTCCTCAACCCGAAGTCTCTCTTACTCTCTCTAGCCCCCTCTCTTCCTCAACCCGAAGTCTCTCTTACTCTCTCTAGCCCCCTCTCTTCCTCAACCCGAAGTCTCTCTTACTCTCTCTAGCCCCCTCTCTTCCTCAACCCGAAGTCTCTCTTACTCTCTCTAGCCCCCTCTCTTCCTCAACCCGAAGTCTCTCTTACTCTCTCTAGCCCCCTCTCTTCCTCAACCCGAAGTCTCTCTAACTCTCTCTAGCCCCCTCTCTTCCTCAACCCGAAGTCTCTCTTACTCTCTCTAGCCCCCTCTCTTCCTCAACCCGAAGTCTCTCTTACTCTCTCTAGCCCCCTCTCTTCCTCAACCCGAAGTCTCTCTTACTCTCTCTAGCCCCCTCTCTTCCTCAACCCGAAGTCTCTCTTACTCTCTCTAGCCCCCTCTCTTCCTCAACCCGAAGTCTCTCTTACTCTCTCTAGCCCCCTCTCTTCCTCAACCCGAAGTCTCTCTTACTCTCTCTAGCCCCCTCTCTTCCTCAACCCGAAGTCTCTCTTACTCTCTCTAGCCCCCTCTCTTCCTCAACCCGAAGTCTCTCTTACTCTCTCTAGCCCCCTCTCTTCCTCAACCAGAAGTCTCTCTAACTCTCTCTAGCCCCCTCTCTTCCTCAACCCGAAGTCTCTCTTACTCTCTCTAGCCCCCTCTCTTCCTCAACCCGAAGTCTCTCTTACTCTCTCTAGCCCCCTCTCTTCCTCAACCCGAAGTCTCTCTTACTCTCTCTAGCCCCCTCTCTTCCTCAACCCGAAGTCTCTCTTACTCTCTCTAGCCCCCTCTCTTCCTCAACTCGAAGTCTCTCTAACTCTCTCTAGCCCCCTCTCTTCCTCAACTCGAAGTCTCTCTTACTCTCTCTAGCCCCCTCTCTTCCTCAACCCGAAGTCTCTCTTACTCTCTCTAGCCCCCTCTCTTCCTCAACTCGAAGTCTCTCTAACTCTCTCTAGCCCCCTCTCTTCCTCAACTCGAAGTCTCTCTAACTCTCTCTAGCCCCCTCTCTTCCTCAACCCGAAGTCTCTCTAACTCTCTCTAGCCCCCTCTCTTCCTCAACCCGAAGTCTCTCTTACTCTCTCTAGCCCCCTCTCTTCCTCAACTCGAAGTCTCTCTAACTCTCTCTAGCCCCCTCTCTTCCTCAACTCGAAGTCTCTCTAACTCTCTCTAGCCCCCTCTCTTCCTCAACTCGAAGTCTCTCTAACTCTCTCTAGCCCCCTCTCTTCCTCAACTCGAAGTCTCTCTAACTCTCTCTAGCCCCCTCTCTTCCTCAACTCGAAGTCTCTCTAACTCTCTCTAGCCCCCTCTCTTCCTCAACTCGAAGTCTCTCTAACTCTCTCTTTCCCTCTCTTACTTACTCTCTTAATTTGATACATATTCACACCATGACAAGAGAAAAAAGCAGTCACTTATTCATTGTCACAGTATCAAGATTTTCTTTATTCAAAGAAAGATTTTCATACATAAATTCATATAAATATTTACATTCTGCTAGACGATCATGTAGATGAAGTTATGCATATACAAGAATTAAAACACTCCAAATGCTATCAATGTCATGAAATTAAATCAGTACAAAAAGAATCAAAAATTAATGAAAAGTTGATAACAAAGACAAGAGATTCAGTGTTACTGCAACTCTCTTCTTTTGATCAACCCTGCTCCCCTAAGATGCAAATATTGATTGAAAACTGTTTAATTCAGGTCTATAAAAAATTAACAAAAAAATTGCTGGCATATCTTCAGAACCTTAACCAGCTAAAAGAGAATGCAGTACTTTTTCTTCTGTAAGCAATTGGATAAACACATGACAACCACAGGAATACAATGAATGAACAGATCCCCTTACTAACAGATGTCCTATGCGCACATGCCCCTGAATTTTAACCCCCCCCCCCCCCCCCCCCCCCCCCCCCCCCCCCCCCCGCCCCCCCCCCCCCCCAAAAAAAAAAAAAAAAAAAAAAAAAATGAAGAAAGAAAGAAAGAAAGAATATTAATAAAATAAAATAAATATTGAATGTTATTAAAACAGAGGCAACTTGTACTGAAACTCTGAAATGATTATCAGTACGTATTCTACCAAAAAGTCGGCTTAGTAATGTAAAATACCGACTTAACCCACGTACTGAATTGAATATGGCCCCTCATGGAAAAAGAGACGTTAGTTTAAGTCCAGGAATGGGGGTAAAGTACATCAAAGAAAACAATCACATGAAAGAAAGCGAAGTTACTTGCTTGAATACTACAGTGGCACAACAATATTGCACAGTGAAACATACAGTCGACAAAGGGATACAAATTAGTCAGCTCCCCACAAGAAGACCGCAAGTGCTATGTCTTTTCAATGGCATTTAAAGGCCTTCTTGCGGACAGCCGATGAATACAAGAATGAGTAACTAGAATACAGATTAAGCTCTTTCCTGAGAAAAGGCAGATAAATAGATGTCAATGATAGGAATGATCAAAAACAATAAAATACACACAAATAGCACACAGAAAAGCAAGTCTACACTTGCCATTTTGGGGGTTATTACCTGTAAGCATTATTGAATGATAGAGTTTTTTTTAATAAATACGATTATAAACTCAATTAATTTTTCTAATAAATACTTAATATATCTATTTTAGTGTCAGTCACACTTTTTTCCTGAAATTTTTTCACAAATTAAGTTTTCATGGCAACTTAAAACATGTTTTTTATCAAGGTTTCTCCGTGGGTGAATGTTTGAAATTCCAAACCTATACTATAAGTGATACTGTACATATAAATATTATATGAAATGCCTACAGAAAATGACTGTTTTTAGGGATGTTTGAATCATACAAATAAGCAACATGTTTTATATAATTAATTATAATTTTGCTTGTATATCATATATTATGCTGTAGTACTAATGATACCTGAAAGTACTTCCTATCATTCTCTGCCATAAGGCCTAAAAAAAAAAAAAGATGTTGTATTGCCCTTTGCGACTGACCCAATCTTGAAATCTACGGTCAGCTTTAAAAAATAAAAAATAAATTACTGTTTTTTTAGAAAAAAATATGTATTAATTATTAAAGCATTCAAAACTGAGAAATATCAGCCCAAAGAGGGAGAAAAAAAAATTCTGACCGACCGACCCATGTTTTGGCACCTAAAGAGCAATACAACACCTTTTTTTTTTTAGGCATAATGTTAGAATAAATTACTAATTGGACGGATACACGACACCGTAGAATTGTAAAAACACTTGATTAAAAAACGTACATAAATTACGTCATAATTCCATCATCCCATAATCCTATTGAATTACATGAGACGGATAAAAAAAAATGTGTGAGCAAGTCTGAAGGGCTAAAACTATTTACAATCTTCATTCTAGCACAACCAGAAAAATGAAGAAAAACAAAAATCTTTGGCACTCTTAATTGTAAAATGTACAGTTTGTTCAAGGCTCTTGACTCTGATTGATAATACCTATTTCTTAATTGTCAAAACGGAGAACGATAAGAGAAGCATGAAATGCATTTACTTTGTTTAAAATAGTTCTATTTTGCAAAAGTGATTTGCCTCTGTCGCTTCGTCCTGTAAGAATTTAGGGCTTAACTATGTCATAGGAAATCAATTTTGTCACTGTTGAGGTTTCCAAAAAAGACAAAGGGTATCAACTATCTTGAAATACTTGTAAAATCTCTGCACTGAACATGCCAATAAAATTCAGAAGATGGTCTATTCATATTACATATTGTTACAGGTTGGTACATTACAAGACATCATACCATCGAGAGGAGAATTCCAAAGTGATTTACATCCACAAATGAAACATTGTCATTATAATGGTAACTTTACATTGTCATTATAATGATAAATTTACATATCTTGTTATTTGAAAATTATAAAATTGTTCATCATTATTTTCTCCTTTTAGTTTTGTTAAAACAAAAAATTAATGAATATAAATTTGTTATGTCAATGAAGTTATTATTAATGATGTTTTATAAATTTAATTCAATTCAAGGGTTATACCCACATTAACACTTTGACCTGCTTTCATGCAATTTCTGAAGTTCGGAGAATGATAATGTTTATCATACTCTCTCCTGGCTACTGTAAAAGTAGAAATATTCGCTGAACATTAATTTTCGAGGATTTCGCACTAAGATCGCCCAAAAACGAATTTTAGAACTTTGAATGGGATGAGTTGCGTGCAATGAGAATTTAAGAACCCACGAATATGATTTTGGGTCGCTCAGCACGAAAAATTAATCACGCGAAAATAACAGCGTTTACAATATTGGGCATGTTTAAGTGCGATGATCTAGTAACAAATACATATATGGATGGAATAATAAGTTATTTCTATAAAATTCAAGGGCAAAAAGAATGCCTGCTCCAATAAAATCTATATTATTTTATGTTTCTGCTACAAAATCTAAAAGTTACTCTGTTTTTTGGTTTTAATATGAAATCTGTCTATCTGTCTTTTGCTTTCATACCACCCCCTCTCTCTCTCTCTCCCTCTCTTTCTCTCTCCTTCTCTCTCTCTCTCTCTCTCTCTCTTTCTCTCTCTCTATCTAGAGCTATCTATATCTATATATCTCTATCTATCTCTCCCTCTTTCTCTCACCCTCTCTCTCTCTCTCTCTCCCTTTTTCCCTCTACCCCTTCTCTCTCTCTCTCTCTTTTTCTTTTGTCTACTATTAAATAATTCCTACTATTATAAGTAACTGCCGGGTTTGTGTCACGTCATGATATCATCATCGTCCTCGATGTTGGGCTTCATCGATCTCGATCGGAGCTCAGGGAGCACTTCTTTTCTTCTTTGGTTAACTGCAGAGGAAAGAGAACAGACAACAAAAAAAGAGAAGCAAATGCGACATTAGAACTTGTTACTTGCTAATGAGAAATAGCTTATCAGTGACATAGACAGATGTAAAACCACACTTGTTCACAGACTTTCTTCAAAATTGTTTCTTCTGTGTTAAATGCCTCGGATGGTGTGGAATTCCCCAGTAATACGCACCTTTAAGTCTTGCAACGTATTAGTTTATAAGAGAATTTGAGGAGGCGCGAGAGCTCAGTTGGTAGAGCAGTGGTCTCGTTATTCGTTATCGAAACCAAGTCGATGCGCTAGTGCCCTTCGGTAAGGCATTAATCCCTCGGAGAGGACCTAAAGCCGTCAGTTCTCTGGTTGCTTACCGGTACTTACCTACAAGCATTTATGCTTTCTTAGCAGTCAGGTAAAATAACCACTATTACTACTTCTAATATAAAAGAATTCATTGTAATATGGTATTCTAATTGCTGTAAAACACATGCAGATCAGTATGCGTATTGCCAATCCTATCATAATACACTCTCATGGAAATTAATTGAAAAGTATCCTGTTTCTGTTCAACTATGTACAACCCTTTTTTTCTTTTTACATGTGCGCGAAACAAATGTCTGTGTTGACATAACGATGGACAAATAAACACATTAAATTAATTTAAATTGCAGATTTAGATTAAGAGTCTACCCAGGTGAGGTAAATGGGTACCTGGTAGGGTTATTCCTTGAAATGCACTGTGCGCTGATAACGGCTGCCCGAGCTAAAGCTAGGGTAATCATTTCCAAAGCTCTTTGGAAGCGCATAGGAACGTTATATAATGTGATATGCGCTAATCAAGAACCGGGACCCATTTCACAAAGCCTTTCTTGCAATGACTAATGACAAAAATCAGTGACAAATCTGCTGATAACCAACCAGGAGGAAGGATTTTAGTAGTTTATAACAAAGACTGTCATTTGTCACTGATGAAAAGTTCTGTAAAAATGGGCTCCGGAGTATTATTATTATTATTACTCTTACCTGTACCTGAAGGCACTAGAGGGTCTAGGGATGGCCTGGGGGTGGTCTGCTCGGCTAAGGGTGCGAGGGTGGGCTTCTGAGAAGACTTGAAGAGGTTCCGATGGCCCGGAGCTTGGGCCCAGGTGGGGGTGGCAAGAGGGCCTGATAGAAGCGGTTGTGGTGCCGAGTCGTCCATGCCATCCAGAGACATTGGGGCGGTCTTGTTCTTCTTGATCTTCTTCTTTTTCTTCTTCTTCTTCTCTTCACCATCTGTAAATACAAGAATAATACAAATATTTAAAAAACAGCGCTATAACAAACAAAATACAATGATAAACAATAACATATTAAACAAAACAAAAAGAAAATGCAAATGAAACTACAAATTACAATACAAATAAAATATACATCAATGTGAACAGAGTAATAGGGCATGATGCAAATTACAAAATTGAAACATTTTTTAGGCAGATACAATGGTGCTCATCAATCGGATTGTAGGACCTTGGGTTAATTCTCAGCAATTTGTAATGCATTTTAAGGATCATTTACTATACTGTATCTAGTAATGAAATAGTATATTACATTGTTTATACTTTATCTTAATAATGTGATTAGCCAAATAAATATTTTTCATGTCATAAAACATGAAAATAAATGATATCAGCACCAAGTTAAGTGTGCAAGTACGCTGGCAGGAATCCTTCCCATGTCATTTTCTTAACATAGCAATAGGAATTGCATCAATTCTCTTAGTGCTCTAAGCAGAGTAAACTGCCAATATTTGAATATTGTATGTACTCTTTTCAGACAAAGAAATGCTTAGTTTAGCTACAGGGAATGGAATGGAATGGAGCTCAAAATTGTAATAGTAAAAATAACAGGGGCTATGATTCAAGACATGTTTGATACATATCGGTAAACCTAGCGTCACTCTTGGGGATCCATATTATATAGCATCAAACAAAATAGGTCACTCAAAACCTCATTCACAGTTCAGACAGCTTATAAGCTGTTCAAAAATTTGAAGAGCGCACAGATAGTCACAAACAGGCACTATGATTCAAGACAAAACAATAAAAATTCATTTATGGTACATATTCGTAAACACAGCGGCACCCTTTGGGTACAAAATAGGTCACTCACAACCTCATTCACAGTTCAGGGACCCATTTCACTAAGCCTTTTTTCAATGACAAATGACAAAAATCAGTGACAAATCTGTTGATAACCAATCAGAAGCAAGGATTTCAGTAGCTTATAACAAAAACTATCATTTGTCACTGATGACAAGTTTTGTGAAACGCCCTCCAGGTAGCTTGTAGGTACTTACTATTTGAAGGTTCATCTATCAGGTTCTCCTGCGATCCTACAACCACCTTCTTCGATTCCCCCTCCGGCATGATCCCGGCCTCGTCCGTCCCACTCTGCTTTCCGTCACTCAATGCATCGGGACTCAACGGTCCACTCCCTGTTCCACTCCCAGAAGTCCTTTCATTGCCCCCATCCCCGTTACTCCGCACATCCCCCTGAATGTCGCCCTCTATAGTTCTTGCATGGTCATTGACACTGTGTGACGATGATGTCTCTGTCATCGCGGTGTTCTCAATAGATTTGTTATCGATTTCCCCGGTGCTCGCTGCCAATCTTTTCTTTTTCTTTTTCTTCTCTTTTGCTTCAGCAGCCTCCTGTTTCTGGAGATTAAATGAACAAACAAACAAAAAATAAAGAATCTGATCAAATACTCAGTTGCCTTAGCGCATGAAAATATGTCCAGAAGGCAAAATGTACAACAGTTATTGATGTTTGTTAATCAAAAGTCCCTCTTATAACATGTCTGACTGAAAGTTAAGCTTACATTAAGCCTTAGTCAGGCGATCGCTTGCATGACTGTTACCAAATCATTTCTGTTGTATTTTCATTACTCCTAAGTCTTCACCTATTTATCTTACATGTGCTACACACCTAATGTGATATGTTTTGAGATTTAATTATATAGTTACCGCAATGGAAAGCAATTCAAAAGCTTTTTAAGCTTTATAACTACTAAGTTTTTAATACCTTTTTAGCAAAGTAATCGTCGTCCACTTTCTTGAAGGGGTCACCATCAATTACATCAGCCTCTTCTTCTTCCTCCTCCTCGGCAGGTAAACCTTTAGCTATCCTCTCTTCCTCCTGTCTCTTTTTCCTACAAGAGTCAAGACAATGGTAACAAAATTTAAATTATTATTTTTTTTTTAAATTAGCACAATTCATACATGCATTCTGTGTATCAGGAAATTAGGCCTCTGTTCTAATTAGTCAAAACTGTGTGCATAAAAGTTGACTATCAAGATTTGAAGTCTCTGCTCTGATTGGTTGAAACTGTGTGCATAAAAGTGGGCTTTTGAATGAAGGTTTACAAATCTCGCTACCACAACTACACAGTGTTTGGCCATAGGGGGCAGCACCAGCCATGAGTATATTTGGCAAAGGCACTTCCGGTTCCCATACAAATATAATGTGTCGAGAACAGGAAAGTCTGCTAGAAATTGTAGTTCTGGAACCAATAAACTATAAGTAACTTTGAAATAAAAATTCTTACTCCTTTGGCATAAAGACCTCTAAATCAAAGCAACATTATACACTGTATAAAAAAGATGTGTGCCAATGAGTTCATCACATGATCTATCCACACTTGAGTTGAGGCTGTATGCATCTATCATACCGTAGGTGCATAAACAGCCTCAACACGAGAGGATATATCCTGTAATGAACAAATGGAAACATGCATCTTTTGTTTTATACAAGAAAACTCCTAGATACTTAGACTATCTCTAGACTATATCCCTCATCCTCATAATCCCCACCTCCACTACATCCACCATCATAATAGTCACAATTCGGACCTTGATCTCTTTTTCCTCATCAACATGTCCTCCCTCTGATGATGATGATCATGATCATTAATGCTAATTATTACCCGTATCAGACATCTGAGCTGGTCATTTACAAAACCGTATTGCCCCAGTTTTCACTACCAGTGGGAACGGAGGGGTATATTCTTTGTATTTTCCTTGGTCTCCCTGCGCGTATTGACTTTGCGTGTAGAGACGAGTGAAAATATACCTTGGTATTTTCCACGGTCTCGCATTTTCATTGCGCATCTATTATGCGTACGAGAACCTGCGCATTTGCGCGCACTCTATTGTGACGTAATAATCACACCAAATACACACTGTAGTGTATCGAAAATTTTGTCAAGCACTGGATGCACAGTGTTGGTTTGACAAAGTTTGTTCAGTTCTTGAGATTGTCATGATGGATGTCTGTATTTGCTCTAGATGTCTGATTTGGATAACAATAAAAATATTGACTGGCTTTACTTTCGGGGGATATCAGAAATATTGACCGCGCTAAGACCATATTGCCCTCGTCTTTCGACTCGGGGCAATATGATCTGAGCTTGGTCAATATTTCTGATATACCCCTCAAGGCCAGTCAATATTATATAAATATATTACTCATTGCGGATATAGTATCGAAAATAATATAGCTAGTGACATTTGTTTGTCTCGCAATGTATTGTCAACAAGGGATCATAAGATCACAACGTTTCGTGCGCCACTACAACACGTCAGGTGATAAATTATATTGTAAGCGTGATCGTTATCAACACTGATCTTGGTTCTTTCTCCCTCATGACTCACTCTCTTTTTCTTTATCATCCTCTCCTCCCTCTGAAGAAATTATCATCATCATCACTGTCGTCACTATCATCATCATCATCATCATTATCAACATTGACCTTGCTTCTTTCTCTCTCATGACCCACTCTCTTTTTCATGTTCAACTTCAACATGTCCACCCTCTGATGATGACAGTCATCATCATCATCATCATCATCAACACTTACCTTGCTTCTTTCTCCTTCGTGACCCGCTCCCTCTTCTCCGCCCTCTTCTGCGCCTCCTCCTCCTTCTGAGCGGCGGTGTCCTCCTCCACCCGCTTGGTGATCTTGGCCCAGTCGTTGCCGATCCCGTCCAGGAGCCACTGGATCCCGTCCTTGATGGAGGGGTCCATGCGCTTGCCGATGCCCTGCACGGCGGAACAGGTCTCCTGTAAAGATACCAAGGGCATCCAGTCAATGAATGGTATAGTATAGTCAAACTCGGAAAGGAAATGATCTCCATGGCACTTCCAAGATGTAATAAGCAAGCGAATCTTTAGCTTTTTATTATATGAAGAGTTTAATTCCAAAGGAGCTCAATCCATCTTGTAACTTCAGAGAAAAAAGGATATGTTTACCAAATTTTGTACAGGAGTCTATGGAAAAGTGAAATAAGAAGGTGCATTTTTTCATAATTGTTCGCAAAATTTAGGTAAATCCTTTTGTTGAAAAACGGGCTCTGAAGTAAACAATGTTTTAATATCAGTAACTCAAACTTCATCAAAAGTGGATTAAGCAAAAAGCTCTGAAAGCAGTTATACAAAACTAAAGGGAAGATGTTCTGGAGAGAATCCATCCAATGTCATGTCTTCATGCTGGTAAGTAAAATATGAATAAAATTCAGTCACTTTGAATTTGTATTGTTTGTGTTAATGCAAAACTCGGGCCCCTTCTTTTAATCAATAAATCATTGCTGATAGATAAGATAATCAGAGCTGGGGGGGGGGGGGGGCATTTCACAAAACAAATGACAAGTTTTTGTTATAAGCTACTGAAATTTTTGCTTCCAATTGGTTATCAACAGATTTGTCACTGATTTTTGTAATTTTTCATTGAAAAAAGGCTTTGTGAAACGGGTCCCTGGAGTCTATATGGAAAGATCAAATATACCAAAATCAAATCATATGAAATAGTTTAATAAGCAAGATAAAATAACTTACCACTCTGCAAGGGCATTTGCTGTTCCTGACAATCTCTTCTAGATCTAACTGGTCACAGATATCAATCTCATCCAGCGCTCCCTCTTGGTCTTGTTTATTAGCAAGCCTGGAAATAAATATATAAATCAATCAATAAGTAAATAAATGAATGAATAAAGAATGAAAGTAAGAAAAAGGGAAGAAATAAACAAACAAAGAAAGAAATAAATAAACAAAGGAAGATGAAAAGATATAGAGTAAAGAAGGAAAGAAAGAAAACTATGACATGGCAAAATGCTATACAAATATTGACTGCTCATGAGGATGGTGGTTGAAATTATCACTCCAAACCCAAGGTGGTGTTCATACTGGCCCTTTATTCCGACTTATGTGTATACATTTCTCTCACAACCCCAAATAACATATCAAAATACTATGCCTGAAAATGCATTATTGTCACTATAGTTCACATGGACGACAAACCCTGACCAAAATGTAGCATCTTGACATCGGTTATAATAAAGTTCATTCAAAACGCACAAATGTTTAATCCTCAAATACCCAATATGTATGTACAGTCTGTAGTTGTCAAATGAATATCCCAATATCAAGGACACATTTACTGTTAAAGGGAGTGTAGCTTGGCAAATACTGGTTATCGCCATTGACGTCTTCTTTTGGACAACTGCATGTAAACGAATGGACTTGATTAACGGTAGTCAGCAACAAAAATCTCTATATGGTCAGCGTTCGCGAAACAGACCAAAGTTCTCCTCACGATTCAGTTTCGCCTATGAACGCACGTGATTGCTGCGGTCTAGTCGTCCGTAGCCCTGAGTCGGGCTACGGGAAAGACAAGTAGTCTCGTCACGCTACACTCCCTTTAAACAATAAGAATGAACAAAACACTTACAGGAGTATCCTCTTGCCCCTGATCTTTTCCTTCTTGAGGACATCTTCCAGACAGTCCTTGCATTCCTGGAGCCGATCCTCCGCGCTTGCGTCCAGGACGAAGATCACACCGTGCGACTCGGCGTAGTAGTTGGCCCAGATCCCACGGATACGCTTGCCCCCACCGAGGTCAAAGATGGTCACATCGTACTTGCCGAGCTTGAAATCTCCGCTCGCAAAGCCAACCGTCGGAGCAACCAGGTCGAGAGATTCTGTGAAGTATGAAATATAAAACTATTGGCAAGGGGAGACACTATACAGATTGCTAAAGTGCAAGTGCTTTCTTTTTTATAAAAGAAAGGTACATCACAGAGTTGCCAATTTGGGTTGGTTTGATCAATTACAGCTGACAATTCTTAACTTTTTTATCATTGATCAGATTTTCTTAAAAGCTCACTGATATGTTTCTCTTTTATATTTCTAAATCATGTTTCTTCGGTCATACTGTGCATATAACATGATCTTATAGAGGGGGGGGGGGGTGGATCTATGCTTAAGTGAACATAATCAGTGGAGTTTGTTATGTTTATAAAACTCAATCTTATCTTTAAAAAATAATAACATTACAACAAGTAAAGGAAAACGATCTAGATGTACAATACTACAGAACATTCAGATTCAAGACAAATTTTAAAGTTTTTTTTAGCAATTTTTTAGCAGATTCATGAATTACCAGTTGCAAGACACTGGATTGCACTGTATGAGCTGCATTTTAACACAGGGATTACATACAGAATGGTTTCAAGTAATTATTGGACAACGTATTAAAGAAGACTGAGCTATTCTTACCTCCTTGTACTCCCTTTAAAGCTGTTGTCTTGCCAGAATTATCAAGCCCGATAAGAGCTAGCGTGACTTGCCTGTTGAAACGCAAAATAAATTAAACATCAGTGAATTACAAATTTGACTTCATTGTGACTGAAAAAGAGATGAGAGAGGCACATGTACATTGTAAATGTATGAAAAAAGGTACGAAGTGTACCCAGAACTATGAAATTCAACATATAAACGGACATTTCAATGTTAGTATAAGTTTGTGTTACTTTCAACAGCTATTGAAACTATTGAAACTAATATTCTTTCTAACAATGCCCTTTCATGTGCACATATACATGTAACATTAATTCTGTTCACACCTACAATATGTCCTGCAGCAAACCTCCCACTTTTTCGGCGCGTTAATGAGTGGTAATTTTGAGGAGATAATAAAAAAGTTGCTACGACACACATCATATTTCATGAAGCCTGGTGGCAATTTTTTTAAACTAAATAAATCTCTACAAGGTAAGCACAAAATATTACATCACAGTTTTTGGCAAAACTCTCTTTCATATCTGAACGAACTTCAGAGTTACATCTAATAGTAAAAAGATCAATCAAAACAAGTTCCTGAATGTTAACAGAAATATTTATAGAATTGTAAGGAAGTAAATTGAGTAATGCTGCCTGTTAAGGTAATTTTTTTTCTTCATTAGATTATGGTGTGTTTTACAAATCAACATGATTAATAACAAGCAGACTTCACAGTGTTTTAGTTTCTTTATGTTTGTAATGATATGGATATTCTCGTGTTTACGTTTTCCTCAAAGGTTCATTGACGTACATGTACAAGGCAAATTCCTGGTAGATTTCGCTAGAACTATTTTTACAAACATACATGGTGAATTCCTTGTATGCTATTTTTAACACCTGTTCCGAGACGTTGCGCTCTTAATTTTGGCTCTACTTTTTCGGCTTGGCCGATTGGATTAGGTGTCGCTGGGCGTGTCGCCACAGTTGACTTAAATTTAATTAGGCAAATTTGGGAAATAGATTTGTATTACAATTGGAAGGGTTTTTCCTTGTTGCCGGGTCTGTTCACACTATCGAAATAGTATGAGAGAGGAAGTGAGGATTACAGGTGTGTAATAGCCAGAAGCATGTGGGCTCGCTAGTGTGGACGGACATAGCAACATTTATCCCTTTTTATATTCATTGAATTAATTTCCAGGGTTGTTGGGTCTCCGGGTGATTTGCATCTCTTGTTTGAAAGATTAGAATGTAAGAGACACAGGTGGGTGCGTGGAAGAAGTATGTGAGGAATAGAGATGCGGATCATCCGGAGCGCCTTATATCCGAGGGGGTAAATTCGCCAAGAAATATAGGACCTTTTAATACGGAAACTAATTATGGGTGGATTGATATTACGCAAAGCGTCTGTGTGACACGCCTCAATTTTTGGGAGGACGAGGCGTGTCAGTTCGGGGGGATAAAAACCGAGTTGCGTCTCTGGAGCGGGACCTCTTTTCCGTTACGATACCGACATGAGTTGCTAATTTGCTTCAATTGGGTTGCTCAGCCCCAAAACATGAACTTTGTGATTTTATTAATTCTACGTTTATTTTAATAAATCTTCAACTCCAATCAAGAATTTGTTTTAGTGACTTTGATTTATCTTCGTTTTCTACACTTCAAGAACTAAAGTTATACTTTAACATTTTCTGAGTCGGTACTAGGCGGGGCGGCTTTGGCCACCGGGGCCGTCTCGCCGTGGATCGCTTCATGTTAGCAAAATATTGATCACAAAATGTTTTTGTAACTTACTTGCGAGGCTCACGCCTCTCTTTGATCCACTGAAAACAGCAAGCCATTAAGCTGAACATTCCCTGCCTTTAGTGACGCCTGGTAAGGAAAGAACAAAGAAACATATGGAATGTAATGAATAATGTTCAGTTCAGTTTATTGAATTCCATCTTTAAAAACATTTTTACAAAGTAAAAACATACAATTTCATGTACAATATAATACATAAATTGGGATAGTATATACATGTGAAATGAATTAATACAAAACAGAATAAGGCACAGCTGTAAAAAAACCAAGAAAAGGTTTTGTCTGGACAGCTTCCTATCAAATTAGATATAATAAACAAAGTAAGAAAACAAGTAGCAAGTAAAGTTTCGGATAGTATCATTCAGAAATTGCATAACAACCGGCACAAACCCAGTACATCTACATGATATACAACATGGTAGGATGAAAAAGTCAGAAGATAGCAAAGGGGAAGAAAGAAAGAGAGAGAGAGAGAAAGAGAGAAGGGTAACAAGCTAGATAAATACATTCAGTGAGAGTCATGCGCAATCAAGAAACTTTTGAGATTACGTTTAAAACTGTTGTAAAATGTATAATGTAACGGTAGTCATTATCATGAATAATCATAACAAGATCTATCTACAATGTAGGTCTAGTATGAGATGACTATCTCTAGATCTATTGACAGATGACACTGATTAACGATTGTATTACTGCAGTGTAGAGTAGAGTAGTACCGGTAGTCTACCTCATCTCATTTCAGCTAGTATAGTAATTTAGTTTACATCATGTATGTAATGTCCTACTTTCTTACTTTTGAGTCATTTAAGGGCGCGTTCATGCTTGATTTTGAAGGCAGAATGAGCGATTTGTAACGCTCATCGTAAACGCTCATCGTAATCGCAGTTCCACGGTGCACTGTTCATGCTCACTTCTCCAGGCAATTCTCCTTGGGTGGCCTTCAGCTGGATTCGCAAACCTGTGTGCGCATGCTACGTAGACCCACTAGAGGTCAGTGCGTTGACCCCATTTAAACGCGTTTACAAATTGTAAACGCATCTTTTTGTGAGTTTACGATCGGCAATCGTGATCGCCGTTTTTCGGTGATTCTACAAAAGTGAGCATGAACGCAATCGTGTTATAAACTAAACGCGTAACAGATGGCTGATTCTGGCCGTCAAAATCAAGCATGAACGCGCCCTAAGCATTGCATTTATCCTAACCAATATCATCATCATCTCCATCAACATCATCAGCATCAGTATACGGGAGCATGAGGTGATCCTGTTGAAACTTCCGGTCGTTTCATTGAGTGGTGCTTCATTAGACTGAATGTTTATATATATGTTTAGACTATAGACACCTCTAGATCTAACAACTTAAACTTTCTTTAAATTAGCCTTTTAAAACTTTTTTAATAGCTTCTTAATCTTATTAAACCGAATTTTCCATCTCTTTTGTTTGTTATAGAATCTATTAGAGACAGAAAATCCGGTCTAGCTTCTTATCAATGCTGTGGCAGCATATTTTATTTTACATCACTCATCAATCGATCGGGGGGGGGGGGGGGTGTATACGGTACGGTTTGATGGAAGGTTTTTTCATTAACGGGAGATTCTACATCATTGGCGGGAGAGTGGGAGAAAGGCTATTAATTATTATTATTAATCCGATCACCAAGAATCAGCATCAGTCAAATTTTGCATCTCACAATCACAAATCATCACACATAAGTAGTACAAATAGCTACGCTGCTACGTAGAATCTACACACGAGTCACACAGTATCACTCACTACAGGTTACACACACTAGAGTGCACAGCCTAAAAATAAAATACAGAAACAACATTCATCAATCATGACTTTCATGTTCATTCATTTCAAGGAACAACCGTCTAAAAATTCGGCTTAACGCTCTACAGTCACTACATAGTACATTATCACATACATACCTATATTAATTCCTTGTTTCTTCCAAAATAAGTAAGAAATCACTTTAATTTACATCTTCATGAGAAAAGATAGATCCGATTGAGTTTTGTTGTGTACGGATACGGTAGTTCGGCGAGCTTATCGCATTTACAGCGCTCGTAAATATGTTTTGTTACCGCAGCAACTCCCCGCTATACATGCACTGTGTATACACGTGTGTGTGTATTTGTGTGTGTGTATAGAGAACATAATGATTATGTACGTACGGTAGAGACTTGTAATGCTAGACCTAGCCTCGATCGAGTCTCATACTACGGAGGTATGTGTTAGCCTGAAAGTCAGAGAAATCAGTAAAATGTCCCATTTGAATCCGTCCATAATCACCAAAAAATCACAATGAATTGATTTCTCATAAATTGTTCACGTCGAAATGTGGGAAATATGTTTATTTCCGATTTTAGCCAGCGAAGGTCCGAACTTGTTATTATAAACTATATCAACCCACCTCACTCGTCATCCAGTACGGTGGCCGAGTGGTTAAGGCGTTGGACTTAAGTTCCAATGGACGTAATGTCCGCATGGGTTCGAACCCCATCCGTACTAATAGTGTTTTTGCTTTATTTTTTGAAATGCAATTTTATTCACTTTATAGATAAGTGGATTTATTTATGATGATGATGATTCACAACATTTGTATAGACGCCATATATCTGTTTTAAAAAAAATTCAAAGGCGCGAGCTCCTCCAGGAAGGAAGATGTGAGTTTTGAGTGAAGCTTTGAAGTGGTCATGCATATGCAAGGTTGTCAATTTCGCGTATATATGATGTCCCTATTAATCTATTCGGTTCTTAAATTATTTATAACATATTTTACCATTCTTATTTTTATTCTAAGTTTTGTTTATAAAAGGGCTGCACTTGGCAATCATCATAATTTTAGGGAAGAATTTTAGTCTGACCTACATTGCAAGTTTGGGCGTTGCCATAACAACTAAAGCCTATAGTCGTTAATTGGAATTAATCATAGTCACTAAGAAAATAACCGTTGTCATCTGAGGTGCGTGCATGCCTCCCGTTTTTACTCCCCATGCTTAGTTTTTGAAAATGCACTTTTTTGTCAAGATTCTGTACAGCACTTCTCAACTTTGGAAAAAAAGTAACATCGAGGAATCCCACTTTGGCTGTTAGAAATTGTCGAGGCCCACCTTACAAACAATCAATGAGGGAAAACAAATTATAATGAAACGAAATTGTGTTATACCACCATTAAAATAATGCTACTACTAATATCCCCATGTAGTATTGACGTTGCCATCTTTGAGAACATTCTTACATGTAACAAAATTCCAGCTGTGTCATCCAAAGATATGACACGTTTTCATTTATTTATTTCTGAAATATTTTGCTTTTGTTTTTGCCGACCACGCGGCCCACCGGTTGAAAAACTCCCGTACAGCTCCTGTAAATATTATAATCTATATTGAAAACTAAGCAAATTTAACAATTACATTAATTGTAAATTTAAAGCCCCATTGTACTACTTGTAGCTACTTGCTCCCTCTATATAGAAAACAATGCCTAATCGGTGACCAGTGGTCCCCTATGATCCTCTTTTCTTATGTGAATTGAGAGCTGAGTTGATGAGATAGCTACCTGTCAGTGACCACCCTGGTTGGTCTAATCCCTCCTAGCCAAACTAGTACAGATGGCCTTTAAGGCAACGTTTCATTATAATTATTGCACATCTCGATGAACGCGTTAACTAATTACAAAAAACTTGTGTTTTGGAGGAATAGGCCTAAATTTGGGAGTAAAGTTGTTATACAACTCATGTTCTGGATGTAAAATTTTAGTCGCACTACATGCAGAGTAAGAGTGTCTCCCATCATTGTCTTCGAATTATTCTCAACGCACTTTCAAGTTCATGAATCAATGAATAAAATCTAAATATTTTTCAGGTCAGACCAATTATGGTAGAACTGAAACAAAAACAAATTCCAAATTATTTGTTATTATCAATGGACTCAGCGGGGCAAAGAGCGACGCTTTATAACAAAATCACTATGAAATTATGAAGAAAAATATAAATGTGGAAAACTCGAGAGTCAACGAAAGGAACATAATTATCTACGTTCAAAATAGTGGTCATAATTGTCAAGGGCCTTTTAGGATTTTTTTAAGATTTCAAAATGGTCCCTTAGAGCAAAATGGGGTTTCCTCAGACTTTCTAGACTTGACAATCTATACCTTTTTCTAAAGCATTTCATTTATCATGTATTCCCGTACAGGATTTCTCTGAAATTATCCAATGATCCAATCCCTCATCTTTCGAAAGACATGTTTATCAATCGCGCCCTCTTCAGTTTGATCCTACGAAGAGGGAAATCCATTTTGCAAAATCAACTTGCCACCCCTCCCAGGTTGTGCCTGCCTTGCATGTACGCCTGCGCGACTTGATCTCTATGAAGATTACTCATACTGGGGGGGGGGGGGGGGGGCTGTTTGTTTAAAGAATTTACATTACTTATCGAGGTTTCAGTAGTTATACTAGCACAACTTGTACTATGAAATTATTTACATCTCAACGTTCACTATACAGTGGGCCTATAACTTATTATTTGGACTGAATTAGGAAAAATAAAAGTTACCAAGCCAGCATATAGCCTGATCAAGTCGGAGGGCCAACCTCATACCCCATTTCAGAGGGAGAAAAGAGAGATAGAGAGAGAGAGAGAGAGAGAGAGAGGGGGGGGGGGGAAGGGGGGGGGGGGAGAGGAAGAAACTGAAAATGGAAGAAAGCGACTATTAAGGGAGGGCTGCATAATTTTCGGAATCATGTTCACGAGGAAAAAAAATAATCAACCAACCCCATTTCAGATAATACTGGACACACCCATTACAAATAATTTGATAAGGTATTCATAATCAGGAAGTTTGAATGATCTTTAAGAATAATAGAAAATCAACGATTCGGGATTGAATATTGCAAATATCATCTAATAATTATTGATTCTTGGCAAGGCGGCAAAAAGGGATGATGAAAATAATGATTGAGTAAAGTAGAACATTCATCTTTTTGATGTGCGAAGGGATAAATCCTACCAAAATGTTTTCATGCATGCACAAATACATGAATGCAAGTGTGTCCATTCCTTTTAGGGCTTTAAAAAAAAAAAGGGGGGGGGGGTGGTGGAAATAAAATAGATAAGTGGAATTGTCTGATTTGTCTGCAATATACAATAGTAATGCTTGTCATCCAACTAAGTTCGAAAGGAGGTAGGTCTAATATCATTTTGGGTTGGTCATCATCCACACCGGGCAACACCCCATCAACTCCCACCCATCCGTACTCGGGAGCACAATATTACATTGAGAGAAAATTCACTCCGTACGTGTTAGGCCTATTTTACTGGGCTATGTTGTGGAATGGATGTGTGCAATGTAGTCCCCCAAATGCTTTGCTTCTCTGCTGCGGAGTATGCATCACCAGTATGGAGTAGGTCGGCCCATGCACCCAAGATTGACCCAGCTCTAAATTCGGTTCCATGACACATGCTCCGCCGACGATTGCTCGGCCGACATTTACTCCGCAAAACGCGACAATTACTCCGCGACATTTGCTCCGCGACATTTGCTCCGACGTCAAATGCTCCGCCGACAGGTGCTCCGCCGACAGTTGCTCCGCCGACAGTTGCTCCGCCGACAATTGCTCCGCCGACAGATGCTCCGCCGACAATTGCTCCTCCGACAATTGCTCCGCCGACAATTGCTCCGCCGTCAATTGCTCCGCAAAACGCGACAATTGCTCCGCCGACATTTGCTCCGCCGACATTTGCTCCGCCTGAAGCGACACTTGCACCGCCGACATTTGCTCCGCCGACATTTGCTCCGCCGACATTTGCTCCGCCGTCAATTGCTCCGCGAACAATTGCTCCGCCTGAAGCGACAATTGCTCCGGTGACATTTGCTCCGCCGACAATTGCTCCGACGACATTTGCTCCGCCGACAATTGGTCCGCCGACAATTGCTCCGACGACATTTGCTCCGCATGAAGCGACACTTGCTCCGGTGACATTTGCTCCGACGACATTTGCTCCGCCCAAAAAGTGTCCCATTAAATACAAATGCTACTAGTATTACGACAAATGCTTCGCCGACAATATATTTTTTTTCACGGGTTGTTTTTGTTTCTTTCTTTTTCTTCATTTTCTGAATGCATTTCATGAAATTATGTAAATGAAATGAAATGAATGAATGTTGATAATGTGGGAGGAAAAAGCAGTTGCCTAAAAGTCATTTCGAATATACTGAAATAACTTTCCATCTATCACTGTACGTCCCACATAATGTACACTAAACACTCATTACATGTCATGGGAAGTTTTTTTTTTTAAAGTAGAGCAGCAAGCCACATTCCCCAATACGCGCATACCTCCTAGTTAATTTCAAACAGCTCATCAATATGTAAGACCTGAAATTACCTCAATGAAAGAAGACTAATAACATGAGAGGAAAGAAAAGAGCAAAAAAGACAACCGTTTTTTGCTATTCCCCATAACGTTTGATTTAAAAAAATAAAAAATAAAATTATAGCTCCTTACGCAAGTTCTCCGGCGAAAGATAATTACTCCGCTCAAAATCTGTTTCATGTATTACTCATTAGCTGATCCAAAGCTCAAGTCTATCTCTCTCTCTCTCTCTCTCTTTCTCTCTCTCTCCCATGCTCCTCATTTTCCTGTTTACACCGTTTTCTTGTCTTCTTTGCTCTTTTCTTTCCTCTCATGCTATTAGTCTTCTTTCATTTCCATCACTTCTTCTCTGCTCCCCCTCTCGAGTTCTATTTCTCTCGTGAAATTGAAACGTAAAGTAATACAATCATGTAGTACATTCTTGTTTAGAATAATATTTTCAATAATATCCAGTCCATTTTCTAAAGGTTTCTTTCCTTTGGTTAAGTGTATGTAGCTTTATGTTAGTGTGCAAAACACTCCGTTTCATTCGAGTACTTTGTTTTCACTAAATAATTTAAGGGACTCACGAAGCCACCGGAAGAAGAGCAATTGGCTTATCATGAAGAACTAACATCAAACTGCAACAAAATGATTTGTATAAATGTGAATAAGCAGAAAGGCTGCCATC